GCGAGAAAGACCTGCGCAGATGATCTTGGATCGCACTTCCTTTTCCCGTCCCATCACTGTGTTTTTGATTTCCCTCCCTCCCCCCCCCCTCCTTTTTTTTTTTTAAAAAAACACAATCCCCCTCCCCCCCTGCCTCCCCCCCCCCCTGCCCCCTCCCTACCTGCCCGTCTTCTGGAGAGTTCACAGTACAACAGAACAGGCTCGCTCTGTGTTTAGGTTCTCGAATTAAACCCAGTCTTTCATCAAGAGGTTTCGATGTATTTTAACGGCCGGCCGGAGACCATGGAAAGGGGAGGGGGAAACAACACTCTTCCCCCACTAGCTTGCGTAGAGACCCCCCCCTTCTTTCTGGGGCCTTCTTCGCTGCTCTCCTCGTGTGCGCACTTGTTTAGCCTTGTGGTGGTTGGTGCCGGTGGTGGTTTTTCTCCCTTTTTTTTATTTTTATTTTTTTTTCTTTTTCCCCCCAAGGCGGAGGGTGAAAAGCTTCTGTGCTGTTTTGTTGTTTTTTTTTTGAACTGGGCCGCCGCCAGACCGGGTGCCGAGAAAGGCCCCCGCTGTTCCAGTTTCAAGTTTGCTAAGCTCACGGTCGGGATGAGGGAGGTGGGTGGGATTAGCAGCTTGGCGAGGAGGGCCGAAAACCTCCGAGGCAGATCGAGGGGGGGGGGAATCGTCCGAGTGGGAGAAGCGGTTTTCTTGTGATATGAATCTTCCAATAAACACGTCGAAACGCGCTCCGTTTTCTGTCCCGAGTTGCAGTGGTTGCATCCAGAGAACGGCTGCCCTTCTCCCCAGTAGCAAGAGAGCAGCGTCATCATACGGATGGGATCTGGAATGTGGCTTCTCTCCGGGAGACCCAGCGGCTTTCTGCATCCGGAGGTTTGCAAATGACGCCTTGCCGCTGACGGGTCTTTCTTCGGAAGAAGCGTGCAGTCCTGGGGCTGGAGAGAGAAAAGAGCGGTTGCCCCAAAATATTGCTTAAACCGAGGCTCTGTCCAAGCTTGGCAACTTTTTAAGGCTTGTGGACTTCAACTCCCAGAATTAGCTGGCTGAGGGATTCTGGGAGTTGAAGTCCACAAGTCTTCAAGATGCCAAGCCCTGTCTCAGACCACACCAATGGTGGAGGGGAAAAAAAGAAAAAAAAGACTTGTCTAAAAGGAAACAAGGATCGCAGGTTGAAAATTCCCGAAGAGCCATTAGAAAACGGGGAGCTGGCAGGGGGAGTCTTTGGGGTGCATTGCTTGTGTTCCTTTTGGGGCAGTAGGCCTGATGCCGTCGGAGCGATAGCTTCTTGGCAATTCCATCAGCACCAACTGTCCAGATGAAGGGTTCCCCAAAAGAGGATTGAAGTGCTTTGAGGAATGACGGTGGGAGGCTCCGTGACGGTCTCAAGGGAAATCAGCCAAGATCCAATGAGTGTTTCTAGGGTCCCCCCCCCTTGTGTTAAAACCCCTCTTCCTTTCCCCCATGCATCAAATTGCAGGAAAAGCGAGACTGCTGGGATGATCCCAGGTGCCCATCAAGAAATTTCGCTTCTTCAAACAGTGGCTTTTGCCTTCCACGCACCCCGTTTCTGAGCCTGGCCCTTGGGGGCCTCGGGATCCCAGCTGGGAAGGGCCCACTGGGACCCACATTGACCCAGAGCTGCAGTTGGGTCTTCTTAGGTTGGATGGCACTTCCGAACAGGAGAAGGTTCCTTGAATGCTGAGCCCTTCAATTTTGCTTCTGGTCCCCTTCTGGTGGAAAGGAGGGGTAACTGCGGATGGGTTGTCTCCCTATTGGACAAGGAGGGCTGTTCAGAAGAACCCCAATTTGGGCGAAAAAACAAACGGATAAGAAGAAACAACGAGGGTGGACGGAACGATCAAAACGCATACTGCTTGGTTGCAAAGAGCCCAACTTTGGACAATCTTATTTTTCATTCCCGCCTGCGAGACGAACTCGTTAAAAACTCTGAAAATCTGCAGGAGTGGAGAACAGGAGCGGTTGCAACAGGCACCCCAAATGTCAGCCCTTGAATGGGGTTCTTGAAGGGGGGGGGTATCTGTCCGTGCTGCGTCCAGCATCGGCGTCCTTAGCTTGGCTCGAACTGAGGTTGCCGCGTCTTTTCAGCTGTCTTTCCTTGTATTGTATTCTCTCCAGTGACTTGTATGCTGAAGCTTGGCGGTGTGCGAGATGCGTTACTCTGTCTTTCCCTTGGGCTACATTTTTAGAGGGTCTGGGGAACTCCCCGTCCCGTCCCGCAGCCAGCCAGGGCTGCGTCTCCTCCCCTCCGGCCAACGGACGTTCCTCTCTGCCCTAGCAACTTGCTGGTTTCCCCTTTCAGGATCCCACTGGTTTTGCTGAAAATGCGGATTGAAGAGATTGGAGGACAACGGTTTCCTTAAGCCATCATCCCCAACTCTGGGTCTCTTCTACCTTTTGGGTCTGCGTTTACATCTTTCCGATTTGAAAAAAAATCTCTTTCTAATCTCCGATTGGAGAATATACATCCAGGGGGTGTGGGGGGAAGACCAGGGTCAAGGGGGAAATGCTGTATTTTAGTGTTGGATGCACCCAGCTAACGTCAACGTGGCCACTCCCAATAAATCAATTTTTTTTTACTCGAGACATGCGGCTAGAAAC